ACTTTTCTTCTTCTGGCATTCAGCCAGTACTTAATTAAGACAAAAGACTTCATGCAGTAAGTCATGGCACTGTCTCCCCACAACAAGGCTCACTCTTCCCTTCATCCTCCCAACTGGCATTTATCTAACCTAAACTGGACAGCAGTGCGGGTACCAGCCCAAGGAGTATAGTGATGAGCAAATGTATTTGGAGATTTGAAATTTTTTCAAGTGTGAAATGGTTGAGAGTCCAGTTCAGGGAGGAAACGGCACAGTGGCTGTCACTGGCTATTTGAAAAGCAATGATAAGAGGAAGGAATTAGAGCTGGTGTCTCCCTTGCCAGAGGACATAAGAAAGCTTATGGGTAGAGATGGAAGGGGAGCAGATTGGGAGTCAGCACTTCCAGGAGTTTGGCAATGAGTGAAGATGGAGGAGTGGTACAGTTTGGGTATTGTTTGACTGTTCCCTATTCATTCCTGGATGGAAAGCTTGTGTCTTTCTAGTTTTGGAGATATGGTACCTTTAAGAGGAGGAATTTGGAGAAAGGTCCTCCAGTCAAATGGAAGAACACTCTTAATGGGTGCACTCATAGCCTGTGGTAACGTTTCAGGAGAATGAATTGATAGTGGTGCCTCTTAGTCTCCCTTGCTTCTGCATGGGTGACTCCCCTTGCCTTCCACCATGAGACTATGGAGATATACCATTAGCTGGAGCTGAGCCACCACAGGTGTCATGCTCTCAATCCCTATGCTTCACAGCTAGCCTGCCTCAGGCATTCCATCCCAGGGTCAGGAAGCTGTCTGATGCCAACAGCTTGCCCTACCCTGGAACAGAATGATGGGTGTTCACAGGTCTGAGGAGTACAGAAAGTATTTGATGAACATTGAGATGAAAAGGTCACTTGGACTCTGCCCCAAATTCCTGTTTGGAGAGCTCACTGCTAACCCTTACAGCTTCGGTGATTTTAGGAAGGTTATTTAGCTTCTCTGGGGTGGGTTTGCCATCTTTGGATACTGGGACAAGACACGGGCTATAGTTGTGCAGGGTTCAGTGAAAATCTGTCTGGAAGAAGAAGGCCCAAGGAATCATTGCCTTCCTTGTTCTCTTTCAGAAGATGCTCTGCTTTTTTATGAAGTATTGCTTTCTCAAGCTCTGCTGCAACTCAGGGATTTTATTTGCTTTAAGCAACGGTAGTCCACAGAGACACAGGAGAATGCACCTTGTTCACCTTGATTAGCATAGGACAGTTCTGCAGAGAGGGTCCTGTGATGTAACAGGGAGTCCTAGCTAATGGCTGTCAACCTGGATCTTTGTGAGAGATGCTTCTTTAAAATTAAACAGTCTGTCACAGGAGACACAGATGTGCACACAGACACACACGTGAGTTCACATGGACAGCACCTAAGTGGATACTCATGGGATGCAGCGACAATGGACACATGTGGCTCTGACCTTCACACCTGCAAGACTCACCCTCTCCTCAGAATCAGGGGGATGCATGAAGAACTGGCTTGTGGGATGAGTCACAGAGGCAGCCAGAATGAAGGGCAGGATTCGGCCTCTCTGGGGATCTTTATTTATAGCTCTGACTGTTCAAGAGGGAGGCTGAAATCATTCCCAAGGAGTACTACCAATGAAGAGTGATTGGATAACCGAAAGATGTCATTCCCACTACTGTGTTCTCTTGCAGACAGGAGCCTGTTGCTCTGGAACCTGGAGAAGTGCTGTGTCACTCCAGGGCTGCAGAGCTACAGGGAGGAACTGAGCTGACTGTCTTCCAGCTGCTCCTTCATCAGCTGTTGAACCCCTGTCCCCAGGGTCCAGGAAATCTCTATGCTAATCTGAGCAAATCTTCCCAAACCCCAAACAATAGAATCTTTCTAGGCTGACAGAGGCCACTGATCATGAAGGATGCTGTTTTGATTCAAAATGACACTGTCTAATCCTACATCCAGATGCCCCTACCTCTGTCATGCTTCTGTAAGGAACAGAACACGTGACATGGGAAATATGCACCCAGGGACCTGTCCTACTTTCCCGAGGAAGTGGTGCCTCTTTGCTGGTATGTGTGTGTGTGTGTGTGTGTGTGTGTGTGTGTGTGTATTATACATATATGTGTGTATGTGAGGGCAGAGGCCAGAGAACAACCATGTCTGTCAATAGCAGCTGCCAATCACTTTATTTTTTGACACAGGGTTTCCCAATGTCTGGAACTTGCCAAGTAGGCTAGGCTGGCTGGCCAGTGGGTGCTTGTCTCAGGGCTGGATTCACAAATGTGTGCTACCATGCCCAGCTTTTCTTTTATTTGGATTATGGGGATAGAACTCAGATTTTTGTGCTTTTAAGACAAGTGCTGGTTTACAGAGTGAGTTCCAGGACAGCCAGGGCTATACAGAGAAGCCCTGTCTCGAAAAACCAAAAAAAAAAAAAAAAAAAAAAAAAGAGGAAAAAAAAAAGACAAGTGCTTTGCTGACCGAGCTATCTCTCCAGCCCTGTGTCAGATGTTGAAGGACACTAGAAAATCAGGAGTTGTTGAGCATCAAGCATTTTGGGCAGGCCCTGGGCCTCATGCATTATGGCTCACAAGTGCTTAGAACTCTTCCTGACACAGGCAGTGCTCAAGAGGTTAGCTGAGAGAGGGACACACGTGTGATCTTGTCAACTTCTTAGTTACAAAGGTCTCATAGCTCCAGCTCTTAGGTAGGGTACATAGTACAGAGAAAAAAATATCCTCTCAGGACACAGACAGCCCAAGGTTCTAATCTTGCCTCCTCCACCAGAAGACCTTTGGCAGATCACCCACTGCCTCAAGCCTCATTTTGTTTATCTATAAAATGGAGAGTCATGGGTACCTATTGATTTCTGAGGATCATGGCAAAAATCAGACGGTGCTAGCTTACATGGGTAGCTTACTACGACATATGCTGCCTAAAAGAAGGGGGATGCCACTGTCATCCAGTAACACTTTAGCTGAGTTTATTCTTTAGCTCTTATTTGGCAGCACTTCAGGAATGCTATAGGGTCTGTTTGGTCCATCCGTCGCTGTGAGAGTTATTATTCTTTGTCTATTTTACAAGTTATGGAATTACCTAGGAGACAAACTTCTGGGCATGTTTATGAGGAAGTTTCTAGACCGGGCTAATTGAATTGAGAAGACCCACTCTGACTGAGTGTGGTACGTTTTATGGGATAGGGTTCTGGACTGAAGAAAAAAGGGGAAAGAGAGAGAGCTGAGTGCCTTTTCTTTACTATGGTTGCAATGTGATTAGTTGCTTTAAAACTTCCACTGCCATGACTCCCCCACCATGAGGAACCGTACTTTCAACCTGTGAGCCCCAATAAACCTTTCTTCTTTAAAACACTTCCTTAAATTCCCGTGTATATTGTCTTCGAAATGAGAAAAGACTGCTCAGAATGTGCATGCTCTTTCCTGTTCATTAATGTCAGTTGGTTCAAGTGTACCATGAACTGTGTTCTGAGCCGACAGGAAACTCTTGGACTGGACACCAGCTGCTCAGTGCAAACCTCAAGCTATGACCCTGGACCATGACTTTGGCTTCAAGCCACGAACATGGCTTAGGCAACACTCTGCTACTTGCTCTGGACTCTTGATCCCAATAGGTCACTCTGAGCCTAATGGCCCTGACCTAGAGATCACCCTGGCATTTGGTCTTGACTGGTAGTTTCCTCTTTTAATTTTGGAACCTAATGAAGTGATAGAATCCTGGTCATAGCATCTGAAGATACCCAAGTCCACTCATCTGTGTTGTAGGACACACAATTCTCCCAATGTGTCTTCATGTTGTTCCCAAGGGAGGACAAAGAACAAAGAGGGCCAGGAAGGTAAGCTCTTGGGACAGGGAGAATCAGGAGCTGAAGAATAATCACTTCCAAAAACCAATCAATATTTTTGTTTTCTCAGAAGAATATTTTTTTTTGGGGGGGGGACAGGATCTCATGTAGTACAAGCTGGCCTCAGACTTGCTAAGCAGCTGAAGCTGAAGCTATGCAGTTGAGCATGATCTATCTTCTGATCCTCAGTTTCCACCTTCCGAATGCTGGGATTATGTATAATTCCGAGTGCATAGTCATATATCATTATGTACAATTAATATAGTTCTGGAGACCATACCCAGGGCTTTCTACGTGGGTAAGCAGTCTCCCTATGGAGACACATGCTCAGTCAGAGACTAATCACCTTAATGACACAATGCCCATTATTTCTCTTCAGGATTTCAAGAACCCTTTATTTGGGATTGTCCTAGACTGAGGAGAATGCAGTAACTACTAAAAGCTCAGATTTTATGCTGGGCATATCTGAGCTTACAACATGGTTTGCTTACTGGCTACTTTGGGCAGCCTTGGGTGAGCTGAACCACCTTTGGGTGCATATTTACAAAGAGCAGTAGGTATGGGACCTACGTTATAGAGTTAATGAGAGTGTTAAACAGGATCACGAATCTAAGTGTCTAGTAAAGAATTACGATTTGATGCCATTTTTGGCCTTGTGGCTGTGCGTTTGTCAAGAGAATTTGATGAAATGAGGGATTTAATCCTAGAAGCTGGAGACCATGGTGGTGACATGGGGCACGGAAACAGTCATTTTTTTCAGTTTTTGGAACTTGATGGATGTGCTGTTGGCTTGGGTGCATAGCAACCAGAGAGTCTGGAGGGCTCCCTAAGGACAGCCTCCTGGGGCAACATTCCAGTCTGGTGCAGTATAAAGGAAGGAGTTCAGAATGAGTCCTTCTGCTGCCCGGGGCCTTGCAGAGCCACCAGCTTTGCTGGGTTCTTCCATCTTGGCAGGATAACTTAATAAGGGGATGTGTGACATGTAGTGTCAGGTGTGACAGCTTTATATGACAACTGCTTCCCAGGATGCATAGCTCTGGGTTGCCTAAGGGTGAGTGAGCTGAGGTATGATACAAGGCCAGGCCCTGAGTCCCTATGAGTGATTCAGCCCCCTGTTCTGTCACATCTGCAGTATTTTCAGAAAAGCATTTTAAGCAAACAAACTGACCTCCAGTCCACAGCACTGAGTCTCAGGTCTACTCCAAAGGTCAATATCTTCCACCCCTTAGAGGAAGAAAACATGGAAAATTCTAGAACTGGGTCAGAATGAGGAGCTGCTTTCTACTGAGTGATTAATATCTGAAACAAGCATCAGACCCTAAGGATGAACGGGAGGATAGGCAAATTCATTACAAAAAGAGATGATACTAACAGCAGTCTATGTAGAAAGTCATATAGAAAAGACAAAGAGGCCTTAACTCTGTATCACACCATGTCTCTCAACCTCTGCAGACACTCCCAGGATCCCAATTGTCATAGAATGTTAAGACACACTATATGGCTATGCCTTTCCCAAATCGTAGGTATCATAAGCATGTGCCACCTTCCAGATTCCACCAGATTGTATATACAGCCATGTGTAAGATGGACTCTCCTGTTAGATCCAAGGGATGGACTCTGTGCATTTTCATTCAAACATGACAATCCTGTTCTTATAATGGGACCCGAGGCAAAGTCTTTTAGAATCTTCTGGAAAAATTTTGCTTCCAGAGAAGAGTAAGGCATGACCAAAGATATTCTGTTCTTTTCTTTTGTACGTTATCATATAAGGATATAGGGTTTGGAGCTATGGAAGCTGTTTTGCCAGCTAAGAAGAAAGCAACATATACATATACATATACATATACATATACATATACATATACATATACATATACATATATATACATATACATACATATATATGTGTATGAGAGAGAGAGAGAGAGAGAGAGAGAGAGAGAGAGAGAGAGAGAGAAGTAGATTCAGAGCTTTGGTATTCTCAAGACCTGTTCTAACCCTGTAATCACCAACATGTTGACTTTTGCTAAATACAGCAACATAATTCCATATTCACACCTGTCCCAAACAGCTGACCATGAGGAAAACCTTTTCTTATTTAGTCTTCCATATTTCCTCCTTTCCTGCCTCAATTCAAAGGACTCACACTTACATATCTGTAGGGTCAGGGCAATATCTGAAAGTATATAAGGGAGGTTATTCGGAGACTGGTAGTCTCTTGTAAAAGAGCACCTGTAGCTGGTGGTGTCGATTCTGATTCTGGAATGCGCTATGCCACTGAGACCAGATGTCTTTAATTTTTAGTAGAAACTGGAAGCTAGATTTTTGTGTGGTATCTCCCGGTTTTGAGGCAAATGTTTAAATTATCAAGGAAGAGGTACTACAGGCACCAAACCAACATGTCCATGTGCTGTTAGCCTGAGGATCACACAGCTGTACTTGACTGTACTGCATAATTCCAGACCCATGAATGGTCACCCTCTGCCATAGACTTCTTCCATGTAAACTATGTCTCCACAAAAAAAAAAAATAGGACAAACAACAGTGGGTTGAAACCATGAGCCACAAGAAATCTTTTATTTGTGTAAATCACTTATTTCAGGTGATTTGTTATAGAGCTGGAAAGTTGAGTAACACCAATGGGTTGGAGGAAACGTATCACCATTCCACCATTGTTGTGACCAAATGACTGACAAGAATCGACTTGAGGAAGGAAGGAATTCTTTTGGCTCACATTTTGAGGGTATAGCCTATGATGGAGGGAAGACATAGAAGCAGGAGCTTGCTTGAGGTATCTGATCATGTTGCATTCATAGTCAGAAAATAGAAAGAAATGGTTGCTGGTGCACAGTCTGAGGTCCTGGCCTATGGCACAGTACCACCCAAATTCAAAAGAGGTTATCTTTGTTAGGGTGTTACTGCTGTGAACAGACACCATGATGAAGGCAAACCTTTTAAGGACAACATTTAATTGGAGCTGGCTCAACAAGTTCAGAGGTTCAGACCATTATCATCAAGGTGGAGGCATGGCAGAATCCAGGTAGGCATGGTGCAGGAGATGCTGAGAGTTCTGCCTCTTCATCTGAAGGCCATTGGTAGAAGACTCGTACCCATGTGGTTAGGAGGAGTGTCTCATTGCCCACCCCTACAGTGACACACTTCCTCCAACAAGGCAACACCTACTTCAACAATGTCATATCTCCTAATAGTGCCACTCCCTGGGCCAAGAATTTTCAAACCACCACAGAGGTCTTCCCACCCTAGTCAAACCTCTCTGGAAAATCCCTCATACCAACACCTAGAGGTATGTTTCCATTAGAAACCTAAACCCAGTCAAATTGACAATGAAGATTAACCACAGCAGTCATGGACACTGAATGCAACTTTTAGGACTTTGCTATTTTATACGGCTTTATCAGTGCCAGGAAGAGCATGGTAATTTTCTCATAGCAGCCTTCTGAGTTTCTACTCATCTGAGTGAACAATCAGGGTTTTTTTTTTTTCAGAAAAATGAAAATATTTCTGGGGAATGTAAGGACACTACAGTAAGTGGCCTGCGTTGAAGGATAATGTGTGTCAATAGTACTTCGGTGGGAAAGTTCAAACAGATCCCTCTAAGGAAGGCCTGGGTAGCTAGGGACACGATGCCCCCTTACTCAAATGAACATCCTATGACCCAGGAACCTGGCTCACTCCCAAGAGGTGCCAAGCAAGTTATCTAATTAAACCCTGCCAGTTATAAAACTGAAGACCATCAGGTTTGCCTCTGGGCCATCAAATGGAGTCTTCAGGGCCCCTTGATGACATTTTGTGTCAGAGAACAGCTAACAGGGACTTCATGTGGAGCACTGTGTACAGCACAGTGATGGGTCCTGGATGACAGGAGAGCATGAATCACCAACAGCTTCAGGAATTTGAAAGAAATGCCAATGAGTCTGTGAATAATGGGTACAGTTCTGACACAGAAGAAGGCAAAGGGCAGGTATTAGTTGTCAGGGAGGAAAAGTGGGGGAAAGGGAGGCCAGCTCCCTTACATGGCTACAGAGTTTGAACAGCTTGTGGCCATAAGATGTGCTCATGGTGAACTGGAATAGTCAACAAAATGAAGATTTTTTTCGTTGGAAAGGAAAACTATGTGCAGGATCTGGTGGTGAATCCTTCTTGAGGGGCAGAAGAATAGTTTTGACAGCTCCTAGAAGCTCTGTCAGGCTCTGGGCTTTTAATCACAGCTATAGGAGATGACAGGTACCAGTGAATCTGAGTGCTTCTGAAAGCTTCCTGGGATCTTCAGATGGAACATTCTATAGAAGTTCAGGGACAACTTATCTATGTTTAGAGGGCAAGTCAGAGTTTCTAAGGAGCACAAGAATGTGTCTGTATTAGTCACGTGTCACAGTGGCAAGATAACTGAGAGAAAAGGCATACAAGAGGAAAGACTTATTCTGACTCAGTTTCAGGACCTTCAATCCATGGTCATTTTGCTTGTAGGACTGCATTGTGAGACAGAACATTGCATTAAGGGGCATGTGGTAGAGCATACTGGCTCCCTTGATGGTGTATAGGAAGGAAGAGAGGGGAGGACAGAGAGGAAGATGAGGAGAAAGGAGGGGAACATGATAGACCTTTAAAAGTTAAGTACCCAACCACCCACTTCCTCCCACTAGACCTTGCCCATTCAGGTATGACTTCATTAATGGCCATGTAAGAAGTCCTTGAGGTATAATCACGACTCAACATCACCAATTGAGGATCAAGTGGCCATTTTACACCTAGACTACAGTGTTTTCAAACTTAGTGGAGAAGTGCCATTAGGTCAGTAAGTTGTTCAGAAGACAAGTTTTCTCTCTCCATAAAACAAGTGGTAAGGTCAATAAGCTAATGGCTGTATGTTTCCAGATCTGCCCAACAGTACTTCTTAGAGATTTGTTCTCCAGTGAGGGCAGCAAAGAACAATCATCCAGAATATAAGCCTTGCCATCTGATGATATATTCATTCATCAGTGTAAATCAACCTAAAAATCAGTGTAGAGATAAAAGCTGGTGAAGCTATGACCACTATGGTTGCCACCAGAGTGGGCACCATTTGTAACTGTATGTGAATGGAGGGGTTTTGTGTTAAGATAGGAACAGTGAAATTACCAAAGCTTACTGGAAGCAGGGTTTAGTATTAGGGACAGATGCCTGGAGGAAGGAGAGAAAGCAAAAGAGGACAGGGAAAGAATTTGAGACAGCATCTTCACTAGAATGGTCTCCCAGTGGGCCTCTGTGGTAATACCTTTAGCAGTTACTGACTCAGGCCAGTGTGGAATGGTTCCATTCTGGCTCTGTCTGCAGCTGATAAGACTAAATACAAACTACTCTAGGTGTTTGCTGTCAGTAATTTTAGCTATGTGTTCATTTCTGAAGGCAGTTATGAGTGGTGGGTCACTACATCCTGTACACAGTCCATATCCTGAATCTGGAGAAGGCATTTCTGCTAATTATTTGTAAAACTGTCTCTTAGCCCCTTGAGCTAATTCTTGACCACAGCTGTTAGATAAAGTTAGTAAAATTCTCATGATGGTTGAGAGAGCACAGTATGATAAGATTGCAGATCTCAGATTCAGATAAACTAGGCTTCAAATTCATACCAGTACTCAACTGGCATGGTTAATCCTGCTTGTTAACTTGACATGCTGTAGGACCATATAGGGGACAAGCTTCTGGGAATGCCTATGAGAGTCTCATTTTGACTAGCTTGACAGAGGTAAGAAGAGCCACCCTAGGGCAGCCCCACTCCCTTGGCTTGAGTCCTGGACTTCATGAAAAGGAGAAGGGTGAAATAGCAGTTCCTTGATGAGGTCTTCCTATTCCTCCTAATCTAGAGTAGCCCACCTCTCCACTCTGTCATGTGCTGTCATGGAATCTTTTCCCTTCACAGTAAAATGGGAAATTCTACTTTGTGTGTTTGTGTGTGTGCGTGCATGTGTGTGTGTACATGTGCCATTTTTTCTAATCCCCTTTATGCCCTTTTACCTTTTGACTGACCTTAACCCTGGAAAGCTGATATTCATGCCTGTAGTCTTGATCCTGGTGACCCAATGTCTAGTTCAGATATACTGATGTTAGCTATTTTAGTGGTCACAGGTCACATGATACTGCTGTGAACACACTGGATCACATACCGTGGTCCCAAAATGCTTTTCACAGATCAACTCTCTTCAGCTCCCCAACAACAATATGAAGCCAAAACTGCTATTCTCCCCTTTTATAGATAAGAGGGTTGACTGTGTCACCCAGTAACAGCACATGCTTAGTATGTATGAGGCTCTGGTTTCACTCACAGTACCACTCCCTACCCCATGAAACACATTTTACAGATAAAGAAATCAAGATACAGAGAAGCGACCTCATTTCAGATTTTATAGCTAGGAAATTTTGAAAAGAAGTTGGTATTTAAACTTAGGCATGAAGGTTCCTGAGTCAAAAAGTGTTCATTGGATGACTCTATTTAGTTCATGGTAGAATGGAATTAGATCCCTGGATGTTTCCTTACCTGAGAGATAAGGACATCTGCCGGCTAAACAGAAGTGCTGAGGAATTTGGGGAACTTAAAAGGAGGAATACTTAAATATAACACCTGGGGAAGAAAAAAAATCCTCTATAGCATGCTAGGTTAAATTTTATCCATTCATCCATCATCTACCCATCTATGCATCCGTCCATCCATGCATACATCCATCTATTACATGTGTACATGCATGTTTGGGTACATGTGTGTGCACACCTATGCTAGAGATCAGCCTCCACTGTTGTTCCTCAGGATCCATCTGCCTGGTTTCTTTTTGAAACAGAGTCTTTCACTGGCCTAGAGATTGCCAGTGTGGCTATCTGCCTGATGAGTGAGCCGCAGGGAACCACATTTTCTGGTTTCTCAGCTCTGGGATTACAAACATGTGCCACCACTGTGTCTGTGGCTTTTTTATGTGGATTCTAGATACCAAGCAAGCTTGCTCACATCCAGTATAGTGAGTGGCAGACACTGTGCTAACTTAGCTATCCTCATAGGCCCTGTTTTTCATTTTGCCGAAGAAATGTTGCAGATAACAAGCAGTGATCTTCATCTTTGATCTTAGTATTGAATCTGAAGACAGGAGGAAACTTTCTAGTTATAGTAACTGATCAGAAAAGACTTTTTGAAGAGACTCTTGGTGCAGAAACAAGCCCTCGGTGAGCCCACCCTGAGATTCAGGGTGTATGGTCTAGCTGTGTCTGAACAGAGAGGAAATTCTGTTCATTGCTGCAGAAGGCACAAGGGTAATACGAGGGGAGGACTGTAGAGACACAAAGAGTGAACTATTTATCCAGGTTAGCTTATGTTCTGTATAATCAACCCCAAGACTGTGGTTGAACAGTCATCAGTGAATTTGAAAACTTCAGTGCAAACAGATTGTCTTTGAAATAGCACCCCAAATACCCGAGCCTGGCCTTGAGGTTGTTATGTAGCCAAGAGTGCCCTTGAATTCCTGATCCTCCAGCCTCCACATTTCAAGTACTGAGGTTACAGGCATACATCCATCGTGTCTAGTTTATGTGGTGCTGGGGATTGAACTCAGAGTCTTGTGCTTGCTAGGTGAGCATCCAACCAACCAATTGAGCCACATTCCCAACCCACAAATAGAAAACAGAGAAAGACTATTTCTTAGAACCTGTGGTGAAGTGAGATTAACAAGGCTGATAATACCAGCCACAACATCAGGAAAAGCCAAAGATCTTGAGAACCATTTGAGACTTTGCTGTACCCTAGAACCCAAAGTTCAAAGGCTCAGCACTGAAATTATGAGTTTTTCAGGGAGGTGAATGTCTATCTCTGGTAACATCTCTAAGAGGATGTTGTAATGATTCTGAGCAGAAGTGAAGAAAGAGTAAGAAGACATTTCTTGAGGGCCAACCTTCTGCAAGGCATCCCTGGGTCAGACATCCTTCAGGGCTGACAGGGGGAACTTCTTTTTTAATGATTTATTTATTGTTTTCTATGTGCATTGGTGTTTTGCTTGCATGCATGTCTGTGTGAAGGTGTCGGATACCCTGGAAATGGAGTTATAGACAGTTGTGATCATACAGGTGCTGAGAAAAGAAACTGGCTCCTCTTGACCACTGAGGCATCTTTCCTACCATGACAGGGAGAATTTTAAAGCTGACCCATAGGACTGCTACTCCCATGGACTCTGCTTTGAACCTCTCTCTCTTCTACACTCATTCATCAATTCCTGCAGGAATCAATCCAGCCTATTCCTCCAACAACAGCACCTCAGTGTAGGAAGTTTCTTTTCCTTGCTTTTCCGGGTCAAAAATTTCCAAAAAGCTGTAGAGTGTCTTTAGGAGTAACCTGAACTCAGACTTGTGAGGAACTCTTCGTTCTGGAACTTTCTTGCTGTTGGACTTAGGACAAAGCCCTTATATCTTAAAAGTAGCTCTCATTTTGGTTTATGTCTCTGAAATGGTTTCTATGTGCCTGTCACTGTATACATAGCAGAGACAAGGATAAGTAGAGTTATTATCTATGTGTGGCTTTAGCAGCCCAGCATGGTGCTTGGAAGTCTATAGTTTTCAGTGAATACAAAACTCTCCATGCTGTTCCTGGGAAACTTAGCTGTGTCATGAATATGTCATTGAATAGGTTTTAGAAAATGATAATTTGCCTGTTTGTAAGAAACCTCATCACACCTCGCTACCACCTTAGAAATAAATTTAGTTAAATCAATTTTATTAAGGACCTCCTATTTGAGAGTTCACTTCATGGCTAACCCCAGCTGGGGCTACTTGCATTTTCATGTGTGGGCTTTTGGAGGAAAGTATTTATGTTTTATAAAGGGAGTTTAATTAACACACAGGAGTCAGAGGCAGCACAGATAAGCATATTGAAAATAAGGACAAAGAGAAAGCTTTCTGAGTTTCTTTAAGCAGGAAACAAAAGCTGCCATCTTCAACTGTCTAATCACTAAGACCATGGTATCTTTCTAAGACTTCTGGGAAAATGCACTGCAGTGGTGAGGGGTATAGCTCTCTCTGGTGAGTCCAACATGAGAAACCATATTACAAGATAAATTCAGACAGCAATTGTGGGAATTAACAACCAATGAGGCAATAACCCTTGTGTAAATACGTTTCTTTACATCTCATGTAAAACCTCCTCCCATTTCACCTTACGTTTGCCTGCTGTACTCACTGACTTTTTTCTTCAGAGTTCACTTATGGTTGTGACACCACATCCCACAAGATTACATAAGGAAGAGAGAAAAGCAAGTGGTTGAGCCAGATTTCATAAGAAAACAAACGAAAAACCCAAAATTTCAAAAAGTAGATTCATCTTGGCTTCAGCAAGTTGACAGCTTTGTACTCACCAAAGGTGTTCATTCCAAAGAGAATCCTGAAGATTTCCTGTTGCCACGAAGCTAAGACCAACTCAAGGTTAGGTCCTCAGAGATGTCCAAATAATGTCTACTATCCCTCAAATACTCTTCTTTTCTCTGTAAGTGAACTTTGCTGTTAGGTTGCTGAAATCTTCTCCTGGTTAATGATTGGACAAAAGGATCGATGGGAGGAAGCACTATCAATCTGGTTGATTCTTTAGTAGGTCCTAAGAGGATAGGACTTCAGCGTTTCAAAAACCAGGGTGATCTAGTTCTACACATGATTTGATGTGTAAAGAAGTCGATGACCAGAGAGGTCTACAGCCACATAGCTGGGCTATGAGAAGCTAGATTAGTAGTGCTCTACCTGGGGGTTGACCAGCTAACCCTTTAACAGGGGTTTGCTTCAACTCATTGGAAAACACGGATATTTTCATTGTGATTCATAACAGTAACAAAATTACTGTTAGGAAGTAGCAATGAAAGTAATTTAATAACAATAATTTAATGGATCGCGACAACATAAGGAACTGTGTTAAACTGCGGCAGCAATAGGAAGGTTGAGAAGCACTGAGTTAGATAAGCCAACCTCAGAGCAGCATGGCCTGGGCTTCCTGTCAATGAACCCATTTTCTTGTTTCTGTAGAAGTGGTAACATTGTGTATTTCATTTCTTTTCTTCTTTATTTCATTTATTCCTTTCTCCTCTTCTCCCTTCCCCTTCTCTCCCCTTCTCTCCCCTTCTCTCCCCTTCTCTCCCCTCCTCTCCCCTTCTCTCCCCTTCTCTCCTCTCCTCTCCTCTCCTCTCCTCTTCTCTCTCCTCCCTCCCCTTCACTCTTCTCTCCCCTTCTTCCCATCTCTCTCTTGAGACAGAGTCTAATGTAGCTCAGGTTGTAGGTGAGAATGTCCTCGAACTCCTGTTCTTCCGTTCTCTTACTTCCACAAATTGGGATTACAAGAGCGTACCACCACAACTGACCTGTATTGCATTTTTCACCTGAAGAGGTTTTGGAGCTTATTGGATAGAGTTTCTATTGCTGACTTCTTTACCAAGGCCGAGCCACTCGAGGGATTCAGGGCATGCTCGCAAATACCAGCAAAACAAGGTTGGTTGATGATTAGAGGACTGGCTGCCAGAATAGTATAGTGAGCTGTTTCCTCCGTTCTTGGTAGAAGTGTCCAAATGACAAGAATAAGAGTTTGTGCAAGAATGAACTCACCGAGACTATGGTAACACACACAAGTTCTGCACAGGTTTAAACTAGATAGGGTCTCAGCACTGAGACAGGGAGGTGGACATGGGGTCCTACTCATAATCTAGAAACGATGTCCAATTGATATTCACAGACAAAAGGAAAGTAAGTATATATATATATATCACTTATAGATCACATTCCAGGGAAGGCCCCATGCCCAGGAGTAGTTGGCCAACACAAAACACACTCTGTTTTTTGTTTTATTGTGGACTTTTTGTTTTGTTTTGACATTTTTGTTGTCTTATGGTCTTCTGCTTGTTTGTTTTGGCTTTCAGTTTTGTGGGGTTTTTATTTTTGTTTGTTTTGAGAGAGAGAGAGAGACAGAGGGAGGGAGGGAGGAAGGGAGGGAGGGAGGGAGGGAGGGAGGGAGGGGAGGGAGGGAGAGAGAGTTTGGCAGGTAGGGAGGTGGGAAAAAGGTGGGGGAAGATGAGAGAGGGGGAGACATGATCAAAATATATTACATAAAAGTTTTCAATGAAAATCAATCAATCCCGTAAACAAATAGAAAACTGGAGTCTAATACTGTAGAGCTCTAATAATATAGAAATCTAATACAATTTTAAGTTGCTATCATTATTCTCATTTCACCTAACAATTTATTCCAACTCTTCCTCAAGGATCTGCCTATGTCCCTGGTTTGTGAAATAGGCATTGGTGACAGATGGAAGATGAACTGGAGGGGGTGGGGGGAAGATTCCCAGGAGGGCAATGTGCTTTAGCTTCATGGACAGGAGTTAGGGGGAGGTCAGAAGGAGGAGTGACAGGATGGTGGCAAAATGGAGCAAGCTGGGCTTATGCTGCTCCGGCCTGCAGGTTGGAACTCTTAGGCCCTTACCTGTGTGAAAAACAGACACATTACAGAACAGGGTGCGGAGTGTCAGCCTGTTCATGCCTAACTCTACCTCAGTCCGTGGTGTGCAGGGCACCCTGAAAGTGTTCACTAAGGAGTCAGGAACCTCTGTTCTGTTTATTCTCTCCTCCCCCGACCCGTGTGTGGATATGAAATATGTGTACGCATATATGTTTGTATGTTGTACAGTGTGAATCAGCATGTGCCTGTATGTATTCGTGGAGGTTCAAAGAACAAGCTCAGGGGTTTTCAAGTGTCAGACCACGCCCCTTCAAATAAGACAGCATGCCATTGGCCTGGAACTTACCAAGGTTGGCTGGTAACAGGGCTACCTGGTTGAGCCTCCCCAGCACCGGTGTTATAGAGACACATCAGGCCTGCTTTGTTCCTCCACGAGGGGTCTAGGGATTGCATTCAGACCTTTGCGCAAACTTTACTGACTAGGCTGTTATCCTAGCTGCATTGGCTCTCTTTCATCAGCTGTGTGATTCTGGGAACGGTCACTCAGTCCTCTCTCGCCTTGGGTTTCTCAACAATACAGTAAAACCTTCTATATTGATTTGGTGTAAAGGTCCGAGACTCAGAGCACAGTGCCTGGCACAGAGAAAGGAAATAAAGGAGGGAGCTGGCACAGCATCTCGGGAAGCCTGCTGGATCCAGAAGAATCCGAGAACTTTACTTTTCAACTTGGCATGACTGTGCCAGAAATACACTTCGCAAATACTCTTTTTTATTTCTTATTTTATAGCATTCAGTCCTCCCTCCTTCGTCCCATGATGGTTTTTGCGTTTGTTTGTATATTGCTTAATAAGGTTTTATGTCGGTTGATTGTGTTTCTCAGTTTATTACTGAGAAAATCCAGAATAATACAGTCTATTACTATATCTCCAGCTACATCTCATATGCTCCTTCTTTTAGTCCCAAGTCTTTTCTTTCTTCATTCATCCTTATCATCTCTCCCTCTAATATTGGTTATAATCTCCCACAGCGTTAACAGGCTCTAAAATCTATAAACCCTAGCAGTATCCCAACCTTTTTTTTTTGACTACCCATTTCTTCTTTTCAAATTTTATCTAATAATCATTATTCTTAACATCTAACATCTCTTACTCCTAATCTTATTAAGTAAAATCCAAGTAAACTCCATTTTATTCTTGGTTGCTTATCTTTCAACTGTTATCAAAATCGAAATGGTCCAGCGTTATTGCTGGCAAGGATGGCATTTGCACAGTGGTATTATAACTAGCCGTGGTTGTTATTCCAGTGTATAGTCTATGCAAGGAATAACAGAATTTTCACAAGGTACCCTGCACTCCAGACTAGTGGTTCTTAACCTTCCTAATTGGCTTTTAATTAATTAATTAAACAATTATTTAACTAATTAATACTGTGACTCTTTAATACAGTTTCTAATGTTGTGATGAACCCAGCCATAAAATTATTATTTACTGCTTCAAAACTGTGTTTTTGCAACAGTTATGAATTGCAATACAAATGTCCAATATGCAGGATATTTGATTCATGATGCCCAAAAGGGTGGTGAATTGAGACAGATTGAGAACCACTGTCATGAGCTGGAGAGATGGCTCAACCGTTAAAGGCTAGGCTCACAACCAAAAATATAAGAGATCCACTGTCTTAGCCAGAGGAACTATTTTTTGAACTACAAACTCAAGTCCACTGCTTCAAGGTCCTATGTGAACACTGAAAATACTTCAAATAAAATAATATGGCTGACAAAAATAAATCAAGCAAGGAATACCATTGTCACCTCTGTAAATTGTCAACTCAGTGACACAAGAAACACAAACGAACAAGACAGTACATTCTTTCTCTATACTAACCCTATAGTAATGGCATCTAGTAATATTGATTTATGTAAAACCCCAGACTGAGACCTCAAAAGTATGATTGCTTATATATAATTATATAGTGATACATTCAAAGAAATCAGAGGGAAAAAAAGCTTCCCATTGAGACCGAAAATGTGAATTAAATAAGGAAGGCAATGCAAGATAAGAAAGAATTAGATAAAGAGATATCAAAATGCTGGATAAAAAACAATTTGAAGTTTTGGAAATGAAAAACAGTGAATTAAAAAAAAAAAGCATCTTTGGTGAGTCTCACCAATAGACTGGATCATCAAAGAATGGAACAGCAGAACTTGAAGACACGGTGGAAGAACTGTATCAGTTGAATGATGACAAAGATAATAAGAATATATCAGCTGGAGTTCCAAGCTTTATACAGCTCTAAAGCAAAACAAAACAAACAACAAACAAAACAAACAAACAAAAACCCCAAGTCTATGGATAAAAAGCAGGAAGAAGGAGGACAACCTAGGTTTAATGGCTTAGAAAACAGTTTTAAAAATATTACAATATTGTAATTCCAGCACTTGAAGCACTTAAGAGGCTGAGGCGGGCAGATCTCTGTGAACTGAAGGCCAGCATAGTATACATATGAGTTTCAGGACATCTAGGGCTACATAGAGAGACTTTGTTTCAACCCCACCCCCACGAATCATAACATAAAAATTCCCTGAATTAGGAAATATGATGATAACTCTGATATAGGAGATACTCAGAATGCTAAGCAGACAAGATCAAGAAGAATCTTAGCCTCAGCATATTATAATTAAAATTCTAAATATATAAAACAAAGAAAGTATATTGAAATCAGGAAGAGAGAGATACCGAGTCATATATAAAAGCAGGGTCATCGACTAGCAGCATATTATTCACCTGAAATGTTTAAAGTCAGAAGAACTTGAAGACAACAACTACAAACTCAGACTATTATACCCAACAAAACTACATGCTATTGTTAGAAGGGGAAAAATCTTTCCATGATAAAAATAGGCTAAAGGAATTAATTACGACTAAATCAGCTCTACAAAAAATACTGAAAGAATTCCTTAGACTGAATGGGAAAACAAATCCATCCACAAGACCATAGGAAAGAATGAACCACACTAGAATAGCAGTTAAACAAATGAAAAAAAAGAAAAACAATTACCTCTCAATAATAACTATG